CTTTTAAATATACTTCGTGTAACATTTTAATAGCTTATGCGAAGTATACAGCATATCTTTAATTAGACTATAGATTATTTTAAAGCTTATTCCTGTATATATATAGAGTTATATGTATTTTAGTTTAGAGGTCTTTAGATTTTTAGAGTTAGTTTTTTCTTTAGTTTTTCGTTTAGTTGTTTAGTATTTTGAGTTGACGGATAGTAAGTTTGGAACTTGCTAAGTGGTAGAAGAATAAAGATATTAGTATTGACAGTGTCTGGGACACTTGAAAGACATATTAGTTACTACGTTTTGGTGCCTTTGTGTGTGTTAATAAAATATTCGTTTTATCTCTTGTTAATGATTACGACCCTTTGCTAAATTGGCCGAACCGATACAAGACTCCCCCTTGGTCGTAACATTTATGGTGCCAGTTGTGTGGAAATTAAAAACTAATAAGAAGTAAAAGTCAATTAGTATAGAAAATTGTTAATAATAAACGAAAGGAAAATCGGAATGAAGATCGTTTGGTGTTGAAATTTTAATATTAATTTGAACAAAAGCCGAAGGTCGGCTTGTGTTAGGAAAAACAGTTGGATCAGTAAACACGACTCGAATTAACGCTGTGCTGAAAAAAAAAAAACAATATACATAATTTGAATAATTAAACAAATTCCGGATTCGTTCTGTGTTAAATTAAAGTCGTAAAGACAATAAAGAATCGGAGAATATATTAGAAACAAACGATAAAGAAAATAATTCGACAAACGGACGAACAAATGAACGAAATACAAACGAATTAACGAGTGGATACGATAACCTGGAATAGAGTGTTAGTAAAGACAACGAATACATGAGCGTTGATACATGTAACGAGTGAACGATAATATTAAGAAGGTGACGAACAAATCTATTCCGTAAGGATAAGTGACAATAAAGCAAACAATAAATTGGATATATTGGATTTTAGACAATATGAATACTTGGGGATCTTCGATGAATCAGGTGAACAATAATAATAGGCAACAAGGATATGAGGCCTATATGCAGAACGATGGTAATCCATTAGAAAGCGATACACTGTTGGATAATCTGGATCAACCGATAAACCCAACACATATTGACTTGCCGTAGGAACACCTCCATCGAACTATGAACGCTTCTAAAAGTAGAAATATAAGGAGTAAAGAGGATTTTCTTAATACACGGAGTAACCTTGACCAGCGTAAGGGTTCAGATCAAACTCAGAAGCTGTTACAAGTAATAGCGGATGCTCTAACTCAAAGGGCTCAACCAAAAGAGCAGAACATCGTTAAGATTCCTACATTCGCCGCTGGAACTCAAGATCCCTTAGGATGGTTGGATTTTGTAGAACAGGCCTTCAAAGATAATAATGTACAAGAGGAAAGGAGGTTGGCGATAATTGGTCCACATCTATCTGGAGAAGCTGCATATTGGTGGGCAGATCAAAAGTATAGGATAAAATATTGGAACAATAAATGGGCACCTCAGCATAGTTTTGTTTATGAATTTCAACAAGCCTTCTATTCTCAAGCCTTGATATGTCAATGGAACAATGAGTTAATAACAAGACAACAACGGGTAGGGGAAACTGTGGATCAAT